TTTTATTATTTTTAATTATTTTTGGTCAATTTATTTGATTTGATATATAATTTTTCACAACACTTTAGATGAATATACAATCTCATTTTTAGTTGATTTATCGATTTTAATGAATAAAGAAAGAGAAAATACCTCATGTTTTGTCAATATAACATGCAGTCTCCTTCAAATATCGTCGCATGAAAGTATATGATGATTTTTTGAAGTCATTTTCTTCTACGATATCAACATGAATTTGTGGCATGTTATATTGATATATTCATACTATCGTTGTTTATCGATTTTTTTTTATTTTAAGAATTATTTATTATTTAAAGTTAATTTTTTAATGAAACTGTATATGTCACATGTTTATTGATCTATTTTACGAATGGGCATGGGTCGAGTTTTTGGTCCACCTGACCCTACCTGAGAACAAGGAGTCCTCCACCCGAGACCCGAACCGACCTGATATATAACTTAAAAATCTGACCCGAAATAAAAAAAAAATTATTCAATAAAAATAGTGACTTAATTGAAAAAATAATATATAGAGGGATATTATTGTAATTATTCCTAAATATATAAGATAAAAATATATATTTTTCGGGTCAGGTCGGGTATTTTTCACTCTAAACCCGAATTCGATCAGACCCGAACATCACATAAAAAAATTGACCCGAACCCGATTTTTTTAAAAAAAATCTGACCTGATCGGGTTGGGTTCGGATCCCATGCTCATCCCTAATCTATTTATACCATGTTATTATGTGACCAATGAAAAAAAATTATAAATTTAAATTAATGTGAACTCAAAAATAAAAAGGTTTAAGGATTAAATTAAACATATATTAAATTTAAGAACTAAAAGTTAATTTACCAGTAAAAAATAATATAATAAAGACTGTTCATTCGGCTTTTATCTACGCCGTGATCGTCATTCGTCAACCTGGAAAATCAGAAAATAAATAAAACAAAATTAATATCTAAAAAAACAAAAAGAACAACAAAGAAAGAAACGAGCTGAATCATCTATTTCTTTTTTAGAATTTCGATTTATTTATTTGATTTCGATGTAACCTTGCAAAACCTCAAATCAAACGCAAGAAAAACATCTGATTTTTTCATTTGTTTGTTGTTGTTTTGGAGGAGAAATCAAAATTTGAATGAATCGCAGCAGATGATGATTTGTTGTTGCTCTCAGAATCTGAGAGACGCGATTCAAGCTTGTCTTCGTGATTATGATAAGCTTCTCTATGTGGCCGTTATCCTCATTTACATCCAAGTAATTTGCTTTCTTCTTCTTATTCTTTTTAATTTCCCCTAACCCTAATTTACTATTTATCGGGTTTTCTTCATATATGATCTTTTCATTTTCGATTGATTCAGATTGGGTGCGCCTTGACCGGATCCCTCGGCGCATTATACAACGGTGTGTTGTTGGCCAATTTGGGCATAGCCTTGTTTGCTTTGGTCGCCATCGAGAGTGGCAGTCAAATCTTAGGCCGGGCTTACGCCGTTCTGCTATTTTGCGCCATTATGCTCGACATTTCGTGGTTCGCCCTCTTCGCCCACGATATTTGGAACATGTCGAAAGAGAGAAACGGCGACGGGGAAGGAGAAGGGAAGGGTCGTGGAATGTTGTTCACTTTCTCGGTAAGGTTAACGCTTGCGATGGAGATAGTGGGTTGTTTTGTGAGATTATGGTCATCTCTGTTGTGGTTTCAAATATATAGACTTGGGTTTCATATGTAAGCAGTGGTGCCGAAGACCCCAATTTTGATTTGAGGAATGGATTTTTAAGCCCTTCAACTCCCTCAAATGCCTTGCTTAGACAGCGCTCTCAAATGAATCTGATGAAGCTTTAGGAGGTGCCATTTATGATCCACCTTATTACTCTTCTCTCTTTGATGATCGTCAGCAACACAATAGAAATTCTTTTCTGGTACGATTGTAACTATTCTTCATTATTCCGAACAACTTGATTTGTTTTTGTCTATCATTTTTTAAGTTTTTATTGTCGTTTTGGCAGGGTCGTGATGGTATAGGTGGAAGTGGATCTGCTCCTGATGCTGAAACTTCTTTGCTAAAGCTGTCACCTGTTAGGACTCTTCGGATTATTGATGTAAGCAACGTCTGTTCTTTTCCCTCGACTTTCCGAAGACATTTTCATACTATAGACATATGCTTTACTCTTTTTCGCTTTTAGCAATAGGTCCAGTAGCTCTTAGAGACTGCTTAGTTATAAGTGACAAGTGTCTCTAATTTCTATGTAGATTTAGAGTTTGATGGTAATTCTCTTGGGGGAGTCATTTAATTGTTTGAAATTATCATACAGTCCTTTTCTGGTAGACTATTCATGTCCTTTCTTGTTGATCAAGTTCCATAAAATCAACGATTGACTTGCTATTTTGTGGGCTCTTATATAAGGACGCTTTCTTCTTATTTGATGTGATTGTAGAAAGTAATTGACATTACCTCTCTTGATTGTGAGCTTGAAAAATGAACAAGATTTTGTTTACCACAATAATGTAAAAGAAATTTTACAGATTCTGGTGTATACCTGATAGGATTTCACTGGTTTTTTTCCTTCTATCCGATAAAAGTTATTTTCTTTTATTTTTTTTTTCCGGGCCTGATCCTTCTGAAGTTTAGATTGTTAGTTTTAGTCCAATGATGCTCGTGAGTGTGCTTCACTAATTACCCTTCCTCTAACCACGTTGTTTCTTTTACCTTATTTGTATGTCTTATTCTTGGAGTTTACTCATCGTTGTATGATAACTTCATCTAGTTTATTTCTGTTTTGCTGCAAGAGAAACAGAATAAATAGATAAATGAATAAAAATCCAGTGCTCAGAGCCTATTGCTATTATTTTGCCAATCCTATTCAGGACTGAAATGAATTAGGAGACATATAATGAAAAAACTATAATCCAATTATGCATTCCTAACTGTTGAAAAAATAACAGTCTTCAAGTATGGAAGGTAGTGAGTTACTTGCATGCGTTCTGCTTTTCTTGTCTGTTTTTTTGTGGATTTAGCTACGCTCATCCCCTGTCCCATAATCAGTTTAATTTGTTGTCTATGGCTTTGGTGATCCTTAAAGCTATTTCTTCATCAACTTTGATATGCAAGCTGTTAAATTATGGGTAGCATGCTTCATCTTTTCGTAAGATGCTTAATGGGTTGTTTTCTATGCATACTGTTGGTTTATGGTTAATTATGTTTTCCTAATTAATTACTGCTGAACTCTACCCTTGCAGGAGGAGAATGCTTCAAAAGTGCTTCAGTCTGTTTGAATCCGAGCACGATATCCATGAAAAACTGAGCTTATCATTATCATTTACATATATCCCTTGTTTCGAGGCTTAAATTTTTTTGGCAGGGCGGGAGTGGGATTTGTACAGGTTCCTTCTTTGTCATTCTTTTGGCAGGATGTAGCTGAAGGTCTTTGAGTTAGAGAAAAAAAGAAAAAAGGCGAACGGTGTGTTTAAATCCTGTAAGAAATAGAATTAAAAAGTGTTTTTTAGTTCCATTTCTTTTGATATATTTGAGAAAATTAGTTGGTTATGGTATAGAGAGATGATGATAGTAGAAGCCAAGGTTGGTTTCTTAGCTGAAAGGTATAGAGTTGTAGATCAGAAACAGAAACCAAGCTTAGCACATGGGGGAGTTATTTTGTAACAGCTAGGATTGTGCTGTCTTTGAACTAGCTTTGCATTTGACTTTTGTTGCCTGCTGCTTTTGGCATTTTTGCTCAAAACATTCTTGAAGAGCCTGGTTTTGGGGGTTAGGAGAGTTTGTTGCGAGTAAAAAAAAAAACTTTCAAATAAAGTTTGAGTTATAAAATAAGATTTATTAACTCGAATAGTTCAAAATTTTTTGACTCAATTTAACTCGACCCAATCGAATGTTCATACCTAATTAGAGGTGTGTTGGTAGCTCCTTTGGAAGCAAAAACTCAGTAAACACACATCCTATAAATATATAAAGATCAATTATAATATTATTCATGGATTGGATGAGTATTTTTCACTCTAAATTTGAATAAAAAAAGTCAACTCGACTCATATTTTTTAAAAAAAAGATTGGATCTTAAAGGGTCAATTTAGAATGAAAAATGAAAGTGAATTAAAATTTTAATAATAAAATTGAATGGTTTAACTTAAGATAATTTATTCTCTTCTAATAATCCAAGTTCAAGTAGGATCATCTCCTTCTGTCTCCTTAATATTTAATTTAAATATTTAGATATAATATGAAATATATTTAAAATAATTAAATTAAAATATGGATACACATATAACAAATTGATTCATATTATGTCATAAATATATTTAATCTCATATTTAGGTTGGTAGTTTTATTTATATTATTATACTCATAATAAATATATATCATCGATCATTTTATGTGCTTACATCAGGAGGTTAGACGATAATCCTTTATCACAATTTCATTATATATATTGACGGGATAAATCACTATTAACATCTATAATTATTATCTCTTTCTTTAAGTATTAACAAATAATTCAAAAAGTCGACTATAATAATTTTAATTGATATTTAAGTTCAATTTCATAGATAACTTGACTTAAATGAGTTAAATTATACAATGTTGACATTTTAAGAATTTAATTATAATATTTTGAAATTTAAAGACTAGATTTTCAATATGAACCGAAAGTTAAGCGTGTATTGTGCAATTAATCCAAAAACAAATAATAAAATATCTAAAAGTCTAAAACCAAAACTTCAAAGTAGAAGAAGATAGGGTAGTGACTAGTGAGAGCGGGCAAAGGGTAGATGGAGGAGCCCAGTTGAGCTGTGTTTTAAGTTGTCATTACACTACCAAAACCCATTTCCGATTACGCCGTCTGTCACCGGAGCTTCCATTTCCGAGCTTACCGCCCAGTCGTCGACGCCGTGTAAGGCTCAGAGCTCGAACTTCAGTCCCTTCCATGGCACTCCAGTCCAGGACCAGCAATCATTTCACAAATCCAAAGATGTGCTTCCTAAAATCGACAAAAGTGGCCGATTTTGCAGCCCCAGAGCCGCCCGGGAGCTTGCTTTGTAAGCTCTCCTTTTTTTTTTCTAGCTTCTTCATATTCTCAATTCATTTCATTTTTTCCAGTTTCATTGAATTCATGACTGGGTGTTTGGGCAGATTAATCGTTATGCGTCGTGTTTGCAAGGCTCAGACCCTATTCGGCTGTTTGAGAAGCGGATTAATGCAGCCAGAGGTAAGTATTACATAGGATACTACCATGCGAGTTCGTTATGTTGGATGCGTATTTAGAGATGAATTTGAATATATATTTGTGAATTGAGAAATTATTGCATCCATCTCCTGCAGAGATTATTAGAGTTTTAAAAATGAGCTTGAATTGAAGACTGAACAATCTTTCTTTTTTTGTTTTTGTTTATATTCAAAGAACCCGGTTATGAATTCGACAAGGATTCATTATTGCAATACAACCACATGAGCTTCGGAGGACCTCCGGTCACTACACAATCCATTGAAGAAGCCGATGAGCTTTTACGCAGCGATGAGGAGGATTCCGCCATTGGTAATTAACCGCAAAATACTGTCCAATATTGAATTTCATGTAAACTCTTACTGTTTTTCTTTGTATAAGGCAGAATAAGCTCTGATTCTCACTTAGTACTCTTTTATTGCAACAAATTAAGCACTCTAACAATTATTTATGGTTCACTTAAGATGAATTTTACGGAAAATGTTGACATGGCTAGCCACTCGGTTTAACTAACACGATTTTGCCATTATATCGCAGAGGCCGAAGTTCTATCGGCTCCTCCAAAGTTGGTGTATAGCAAACTTATTTTGAGGTAAACCATAACCCTGTATTCTTAATTTCATTTTAATGCTTTCCTCTGATAAAAAAGCTGGGTTTGCTCCCCCGTCCTCTGAAAACTATGCTTGATAGAATATCAAGGCATTGGTTTCGGTTGTTCGTGTCTTTGTTCCTGCTCCTGCTTGAACAAGTTCGAGAGACTTTCTAACTGACCTCTTGTTCCTTCCTGTAGTTTCACAAGGAAACTTTTGGTAGCAACCATGGACAAATGGGACATTCATGTCCTTGTTATCGATAAAGTCGCACCATCAATTGGAAGGTCCGTATATGTGGATTTTAGATTTAGCTTCTCTTAGTCTGTTTGGTAGATACTTGTGTTCATTCTGTAGGCTTTCGGCATGTGAATTCGGTGTTTAAAATGTTCTCGACTCCCCTCACCCTTTAGATTTCTTATGCATCTTGTACCTGAATATCTATTGATCTTATACATTCATTCCTCACAGAATGAGCCTGCTGGTAGAATTTTGGAGCTTAGTATTCTTCACTTGGCAATGTCGGAGATAACCGTTCTCGGGACCCGGCACCCAATTGTCATTAACGAGGTATCTCTTTTCAACATTCTCTCATTTCCTGAGCATTTATTTTCTTTATGCATATTTCCAACCAGTAAGCCATTAGCTTTCATACTTAAAACCAAGCACTGTGTGTTCTGCAAAGGCCGTCGATCTTGCAAAGCGGTTCTGTGATGGGGCAGCACCACGAGTAATCAATGGGTGCCTACGGACGTTTGTGAAGGATCTTGCTGGAACCAGCCAAGCTCAGGCCTCGAAATCTAAACAGGAAGTGCCACTTGAAGTATGACAGCTAGTTCGTTTGAAGCCATCTTCTGCTTCTCGTCGATCTCCGAGTTGCCACTTCGAAAACGGTTAGTCGTTGTGAAGGGTAATCTTCAGCTCATTCAAGTGCTTATGAGGTGAACTGAGTCGGATGTCATAGACGAGTTAAAAACCAGAAAAATAGTGGCAATGATCAAATACTTGATAGCTGAAAAATTTTGTATATGATTATGCTGTAGTTGGAATATTTGTCTAAAACATAGAATAGTATGACTATTCTACCCTACCTCCCTTACCTCATTACTATGTGAATAAGGTCAGCTAATAGAATAGTATGACTATCATTTTTTATATTACTCGGATCCTTATTTTCATTAATTATTTAATGTTTCTAGTATATCTTAAAAATAGGTCCAAAAATAATAATATAAACTGGTTTGAAATTATATTTTAATTAACATTAAAAAACAATTTAAAAACTTAATTTTTAAAGTTACATAAGATATGGTAAAAAATATCGAAGGTGATAAACTATGTTATAGTAATAATTTTTTTGGTCATCAATTTTTTAATATTATAAAATAATCAATAATTTTATCAAATTATGACAAGATAATTCATGTGACATTATAAACAATAATGAATTTGGTATAATGATTATTTTTTAACATTTAAAAGTTTGCTTATCAAAAATAAAATACGTAAAGTACACAAATAGTCACTAAACTATATTAAAACAGTTTTTTATCATTGAATTTTCAAAAGTTATACAATGATTACTAAAATTTATTAAACTAATACAAAATGATCATTAAACTTATCAAATTATTACAAAAGGATCCTTAAACTTATTAAATTTATCACCATTTTGTAACAGTTCAATAAGTTTAATAATAATTTTGTAACTTTTAAAATTTCAATGACTAAAAAGATAATTTTAATATAACTTAGTGACTATTTGTGTACTCTATCTAAAGATAATTTGGACATTATTCAGTGATCTATTATGTATTTTATCCATAAAATAATACAAAATTAGATATGGCCTATGGGCGCCCGCATTAGGGTTTTGAGTTTCCAGATTCCAGTTTATAAATACCCACATATCGTATTCCCTCTCATGGAGGCTGTGGCTTGAGGAAGCTCATGTTTTTGTTTAATCTTTCGTACTTTGTTCACACGAATTCATTTTGAATTGATTCTACTCGGTGTTAGAGGGCCTAATAATTGCAATTCTTTGATCTGTTATCATCGGAATGAATCAAAGGATCGATCGTTAGGTCAAACCAAAGGCTTTTCGTATGCGCAGCTTTTCTCTATGTATACTCTCCCTTTAGCTCCGATTAGTCTTTGTTCCTTTGGGATTTGTCGGTGACAAGGTAGTTACATTTCTTTTTTTTCTTGTAATTTATCAAATTTGTTTTATTAATGCAGGAAAAAAAATAGAGGATGATGAAAAAATCAAACGGATTACCATTGATTGTTACATGAGAACGTTACCAGCTACTTCTGACTCCTGAATTTTTTTCCCTCGATTGTTCTAATTTATTTACGGATAATAAAAAATTAGGGTTTTAATTAAAATTAATGATTTTTGGGGCCTGTGATATTAGAACATATTTGCTACTCTTGATGGTGTTTGCCATCTGATGATTATTTCCACCAAGATCTCTGAGGCCTTGTTTTTTCCTTCTCAATGTTTTTAAATTAATTGCGTTTCTAGTCTTGAAATTGTATCAAATCTGTTTCGAGTTTGTGTCGATTTTCGTAGTTAAAACATTTTGTCGTAACCGTCTTTCGGTTGTGCCCCGGAATTGGGTTTCGACTTGAAAAATGTGATTGGAGTCGCCACCGATCATTTATTTAAAAATAAATGGGTTGACCGGGTACCTTATTTCTTACCTGATCTGCGTCTTACCAAAGATGTGTCGGATTCGGGAGTCGGTTACAGCTAAGGAAGGATTAGCACCCTTAAACTGCCCTTTCGGTACTATGTAATTTCCAGTTGTCTTTAATTAAGAAAGTTGTAAATTTAAATTAAAATGTAAAATGACGATCCAAATTACTTACCTTAGATTGCTTAAATTGTACCCTTAAAAGATCGAGACATATATTAGATAAGGAATGCAAATAAAACACCTAAGGTAAAATGGAAAACAAATAAGATGAGGAAAATATAGAATATAAAAATGATGGTAATAATAATAAAGATATATACAATAGATAAATAAAAAGATATATAATAGTATAAATAAAATAAAAACTAAAAAAAACTAAAATAAATAAATAACTATAATCAAATATGTACAAATAAAATAAAAAAGGAATAAATAAATAAATAAAACATAATAAAGGTGAAATAAGATAACATACAAATGTAAAATGACAAGAATTAATAAATGTCCATATGTATATAAAAAATGTAAAATAATAACGTATAAGGTAAAATTAATAAAAAACATATAATAATATTAATTCCATATATATATATAATAACTAAATATGAGAGGAAAAAAAAAATCTATATAATAGTAATAGAAAAACTAAATAATGAGATAAATAAAAAAAAATAAAGAAATAATAAGATAAAATAATATATATATATATATATATATATAAGTAAAATGATAAAATATTAATAATACGTATATACGAAACTGAAAAAAAATAATATAAAATATATAAATATTATATATATATAAAAGATGATTAAAATAAAATCCTGAAAAAGGACTAAATTGAAAGAATTACAGGATGGAGGTCAAAAGTCAAAGAATATTAAGGTTTAATTCCAATTTGGGGGTGAAATAACTCTTTTAAAATGACGAGGGATCAAAAGAGTAGTTTACCCTGTTTTATTAAAAAACGCGTGGGTCACCGGCATAAAATCCAAAATCGTTTCAAAAAAATCTTATTTCCTTCATTTGATACCACCAAAAACCGTGAGCCTTCCCCCCATTTCACAGCATTCTCTCGCCTGTTCTTCGAGATTGAAGAACAGGGTCCCTGATTCCAGATTCCGGCCACCATGGCCACTTCAAGCCGCCTCGCCGGCCGCCGTAGAACGGCGCCGGCCGCCGTTCATCGGCGGCAAACCTTGAAAAGTTTCGATTTTTCTGGAAGCCCACAACACCCTCGTCATAAAAAACACCACCATTTTCTAAAATAAGCCTCGTGGGGGTGTAGATCTAGGAAAGAAATTTCCGTACACCCCTACCCCGGTCATCGGCTTTCAGCGCTTAAATATGGGAGAGACAACATGCAAAAGAAGGAAATCACAGCCCTCATGCGAGATCGACAGTAACAAACGAGGTAGAGCATGCTTACCCTTTTTATTCAATTTCGAAGTTGGTACAAAATGATTTGGTTCACTGCTTTGTCTGTGTATTTTTTTGCGGGTATTTCCTCCCCTGATCATGTTCACTTTACATGTATTTATAGTCTAAGAATACTAGTCTTAGTCCCGATTTTTTAGCATTTTATTTGGACTAAATCACTGCTTGGTTGGTTGTGGATGTATCCTTGTAACACACGTCGTTGCTTTGTTGAACATGCGAGAAATGACTGTGAAAGGAGGCGTGCGACCGTGAAACTCAGGAGTCGTTGGAGAGGCATGCAAGCTGTGGTGTCCTCGAGCGGCTGGAAACAAGGGATGCGTGGCTGCTGGTGAGGGGCGTGCTAGGGTCTGAAAACCCTAGATGGTTTGGGGTTTGACTTGGGCTTCAGCAGATGGGTTGCGCGTTTGGGTCACATCTGTTGGGCTCCATTTGATGTATCGGGCCTGACATAGAAACAAAACAAATGTAAATTTGTTAGTTTACTAAAACAATAATATTTATACCATATATAATATATATATAACATATAAATATGTGTGACTTAAAAAAAAAAAGTGTGTCTACAGCTGCCCCTCTTTGCCCATAGTCGTGTAACGGGGATAGGGCAAAGATTAAAAGACACACTTTTCGTTTACCAAAAAAACGTATCCAAATTTAACATCATCCATATAAGGGTCAAGTCCCATCGAATATCCTCTGCTGTAGAGTTGAAATCCGATCATTGGACTAAATCACACAATTACTCCCTCGCCGGGAGGTTGAGCCAAAATTGGAAAATTCTGAGCACGAAATCCTTCGTCGCGAAGTTGAAAACGAGCTCAAAGCTTTTGACAAGTGGCCTCTGAATCGTCTTCTGGCTCAAGATACTTCGTTGTGAAGGTGGAACTTGACCTGAAGACTTTGGTGTTGTGATGTTACAGATGACCCCTTTGTCGTGAAGTTGGGTCAATCTGTTAGGGTACGATACCATTTGTTGTGAAGTTGAGCCTGGAATTGGATATCCTTCGTTGTGAAGTTGAAATCCAAGTAAGTTGTATTGTTCCGAGTCCAATATCCTCCGCCGTGAAGTTGAAATTGGTTCTGGAACTGGGAAATTGTTTGTTGACAGTCAGCCGCCCCTTCGTTGTGAAGTTGAGCTTGTGCTGTCTTGAGTCCAATATCCTTCGCTGTGAAGTTGAAATTGGCTCCGAAATTGGGAAATTATTTGTTGACAACCAATGGTCCCTTCGTCGTGAAGTTGAACTTACGTTGTCTGGAGTCCAATATCCTTCGTTGTGAAGTTGAAATTGGCTCTGAAATTGAGAAATGTTCGTTGACAACCAGCGGTCCCTTCGTCGTGAAGTTGAACTTACGTTGTCTGGAGTCCAATGTTCTTCGTTATGAAGTTGAAATTGGCTCTGAAATTGAGAAATGTTTGTTGACAACCAGCGGTCCCTTCGTCGTGAAGTTGAACTTACGTTGTCTGGAGTCCAATATCCTTCGTTGTGAAGTTGGAATTGGCTCTGAAATTGAGAAATGTTCGTTGACAACCAGCGGTCCCTTCGTCGTGAAGTTGAACTTACGTTGTCTGGAGTCCAATATCCTTCGTTGTGAAGTTGGAATTGGCTCTGAAATTGAGAAATGTTTGTTGACAACCAGCGGTCCCTTCGTCGTGAAGTTGAACTTACGTTGTCTGGAGTCCAATATCCTTCGTTGTGAAGTTGAAATTGGCTCTGAAATTGAGAAATGTTCGTTGACAACCAGC